TTGGGGCTGGCTGTAAAAAGGTGAATTAAAAGAAAAGCCCTTCAGCTTCACATATATTTTGCAGTCAAGGAACACTGCAAGGAGTGGGTCTTAAAAAAAAATAAAGTTGCAGCCTTTTCTGCATGTGTGTGCGTGTGTCAACAGAAGGACTATAAACTATAAGATATTTGTTAGCTCATTACTAAGTCAGATTCTGACTAATGCCAAGTGTTGTCTCACTGCCCAGCAGCAAAAGTGCAAATAAGTGGACAGCTATGATTAAGTGCCAAATATTTAAACACATTATGACAATTCAGGCCACCCACACTCTTATGTAAATACAACTTCTGTAGAGTCATTTCAAATGGGACTGAAGAGCAGACAAGTCACTTTAATGGGATTCTAGGTCAAACAGTGCTGTGCGAAACAGTGGTCAAGCAGCCAAGTTGAAGAGTTGAGGCCAAATTCTGCCCTCTGTCACAGCCTGGGAGCCCACCCTGGGTTTGTGTGGGGATAGCTGAGGGCAGCAGTGACTTGATTTTGATCAGACTTCTGCTAGCTCAGTAAATACAACGCCACATGCATACTTTGGAATGGTTCTGGATTTGATTAGTTCCTTAGTCCTTGACCAAAGCCTTAATTGTTTATCCAGATGAATATTTGTACATTTTAAAGACAGACTTTTTACAGGCCTGTAAAATAAATGTATGAACAAAGATTACAGCTCATAAAAGGGGAGAGGAAAACCTCTTCCTTGTTCTCTACAAAAATAAATGCTCACCTTATGCAAAGATAACTTTTCAGCCTCAATATGCTGAACTCTCTAAATTCATAGATGCTGTTGAATGCAAGTCAGGGATGTGACTGGGGGGAGAAGGGCGTGTTTGCAGAGAAAGAATACTTAGGCTTATTCTTAAATGACAGATGTGAGGCTCAGTAGCCACTTGTGGCACTTATTCTTTCCCTTATGGGATGGGGAAGTGGGGAATCAACCAGTAGTGACAACATGAGAAGGAAGAAAAAGAACTATGAAAACTAATTCTGAACAGTCTTTCATCTGAGACCACAAATACTAGAATGTCTTAATCAGCTTTGTGTGATTATTTGCAAGTACTTTTACTAGACTTGAGGTGCTTTGTGTGCCTTGTCTGTGCCTTTCCGTACTGCAACGTTTGGCTGCAACCTCTGTATCGTGTTGTGTTTTGTCCTTCAATAATTGTGATATAATATCCTCAGAAGTAACTATTTTAAAGTAAGATTGTCTGGGAGACGATCATTTCCTACCCCAAAGAGCTAGCAATCCAAATGGACAGGATAGACAGAGGAGAAGAGTGAAAGGATGCAGCATTAGAGGAAGCTTGACAAGTGGTGGATGGAAGTTCTACACATACTTCCAGGATTTGTGTATGTGTGTGCATGCATGTGTGTGCGCGCCTGGAGAGGGTGTTGTGCGGGCCGGGAGTGACCCGAGCCCTTTTTCGCGCTGCACGCGGGCTGTGGCCAGCAGCCCGGGCACGCCGGGTCGGAGAGGGGAGGCCGTCGAGCTGGAATTAGGCACAAACGCGTATCGGTAGTTTAAAAGATTGTTTACTTACACCGAGATGGCAGTGGTGTAGGCTGGAAAGCTTGCTTGGGTTGCGGTTACAGATAGAAAAGAAAACAAAACTTGAACCTGCAGGGCACGAGGGTACGTCGCAAAGGGTTCTGGTGACAGGAAGATATAAAATATGAGGGTACGTCGCAAAGGGTTTCGGCGACGGGAAAATAAACCTGGAGGACTCGAACCCGGGTAGAAGAGCTCTGAGATCGGTCAAGGATTCACACGAAGTTTGCTAGGCTCCGTGGGTCCTTCTGCTCCACACGAAGTTTGCTAGGCTCTGTGGGTCCAGTTCTTTTGCGCGCGGGAAGGGATATGTCTGGACTGCGCTCGGCGATGGGGAGAGGCTAGAGGTTGATCAGACCTCTGTTGCCTGCTTTAAATGCACTGGGTCCGTAAGGATCCGCAGCGCTTAGAGATCTTCACACAGCGTGAAGTCTCCTCCTCCCGGTGTTCGTGGAGTCCTCCAACTTGGGCGGAAACCACTCAAGCCTTTTATACGGCTAGCAAGCCAATCACTAGCCGCTACATGTGAATAATTTAGAACTGGCCAATAATGGGATTTGAATTAGCATACAAATGGTGGGAACTCTTTGCAACGAGCATTTCTGTGCTGCAACAAAGAAATGCACCCTGCAAAGAAAGCTTCAAATTGGCGGGAAATTCTCCCTTGCACCGGGGTTCTCTTTTGCAGCAGAAAACTCCACCGTGCAAAGAAGCTGTAATTTAGCGGGAACAATTTAGCAGTGCCGAAGCACACAAAACAAAAATCACACCCTTTGGGTTGTGACAGGTGTGTCATGTAATTCCTGTGTTTATTTGGTAAAGCGTGGAGTCTTAAACCTGTCTTTAATTCCAAGTAAACTCCACTGAGTAAAAGTGGAGTAACTCTATTGAAGCCTGAAAACAGAATGTCTATGTTCTGTGGTTCTCTGAAATCTAGAGACGGAATAACCCTATGGTTATGATGTGATGGAGCATATCTGGCCAGTTTGCCTATCCAGGTGGAGCATACCTATCTTCATACACATAGGTATAGGGTTACTTGCGTGTAAAGGGGACCTTTTACCCCAGAAAAGATTCTTAGCTGCCTGTTTGGGAAGGGAAGATGCCCTTCTGGCTTCATTGTGTTGTGGTGTAAAGAGCAGGAAGTGGTAGGTTTTGGAGCTTTCTGGGAAGAAAGCAATGACCTATCTACTATACTTCTTGTGGTAAACCGAAAAACACAGGGAGTTGGTTTCTCCTACCACTAGACAAAGAACTTTGTTAGAATAAGGAAACTAGTATTATCAGTCTTTCTAGCCTGCCTCTTCACTGGATGGCTTTTGTTTCCAACCAGTCCCAGCTTTTCTTTGCTTGGCTTCCTGATGCGCATTTAAACACGACTCTTACTCACTCATTTTCACCCACCCACACATGCTCTGTCCCTGACTAAAGGGAAGTTGCCCTACAGTTGGCAATAGGCTGTTCCCTGGGCTCTGGTAATGAAAGCCTCAGAACTGACTCTGTTGGCCAGAGCAGAGCAGTTTTAGACAGTCAGGATACCGTATTTTTGGCTTTTATTTTATAATTTGTTTAGCATGTTTGTTTGTAGTGCTGCTAATACTCTGGACCCATCTCAAAGTCACCTGGTGACTATTCCTTTCATTTCCACTTCAGGATTATTTCCTGCTTTATATTTAGGCTAGAAATCAACGGGAGTCCCTCTCCATTGACTTGTGTGTGTTTTGGATAAGGTCCTTCCACATGTGTGCAATTTTTCTCCAGCCCCATATACATTTGCCAAATGCTAAAGTTTCCAGGACTTCCCCGGGAGATGATTCCAGCACAAACATTTCCCTGTCTGGAAGCTTTGCTGCTGCTTTTGCCAAAATGTTCTTTCAAAATGTCACCCTAATACTTTATTGCTTAACATTTACTTTTTATGTTACATCTTCACACACACTTGCTAATTCCTTTTCTCTCCTTGATGTCACTGCCCATCAATGATTTTCAGGCTCTTGACTATCCTGTTACTATGTCAGGCATTTTATAATTATTTTAATTTCTCTTTGTAAATCTACCCCTTCAACAATGTGTTGGTTTTCACTGCCTCCTATTGCAACTGTGCAAGTTTTGAATGGTTGCACTCAGATGCATAAGGCTGCTTTTTTTTCCCCCAAGGTGATTTTCTGTTTAGTGGTGTCCTGACCACATTTTGCCAAATGGAGGGGATATCTTGAGTGGAATCTGGTACTGTTCATTACCTTCCTAGCTAGTAGAACTGAATGCATCCTTGCAGATGATTCCACTTTGTCGAACAGGACTCAGATTCAAAACAAGCTTGATAAACTGGAAAAATGGTCTGTAAAGCATAGGGTGAAATTCAGTAAGGACAAGTGTAACTTCTTGTAAACACAAAAACGAAGCTTACAAGAAGTGGAAGCTTCAACAGATAACTAGGGAGGAGTATAAGAATATTGCTTGGGCATGCAGGGATGAAATCAGGAGGGCCAAAGTGCAATTGAATTTGGAGTTGCAGCTAGCAAGGGAAGTGAAGGGTAACAAGAAGGGTTTTGCAAGTATGTTAGCAACAAGAGGAAGGTCAGGGAAAGTGCGGGTCCCTTACTGAATGGGGGAGGCAACCCAGTGACAGATGATGCAGAAAAGACTAAATGTCTTTTATACCTCAGGCAAGGACGGCTCCCAGATGACTGCACTGGGCAGCACAGTTTTGGGAGAAGGTGAGCAGCCCTCAGTGGTGAAAGATGAGGTTTGGGACTATTTACAAAAGCTGGACATATACACGGCTATGGGGCCGAATGCAATGCATCTGAGGGTGCTAAGGGAGTTGGCTGATATGATTGCAGACCTGCTGGCCATTCTCTTTGAAAACTCATGGTGTGGGGAGGTCCTAGGCACGTGGAAAAGGGCAAATATAGTGCCCATCTTTAAGAAAGGAAAGGAGAAAGATCCAGGGAAGTACAGACCGGTTAGCCTCACCTCAGTCCCTGGAAAAATTATAAAGCAAGTCCTCAAGGAATCCATTTCTGAGCACTTGGAGTAAAAGAAAGTGATTAGGAACAGTCAGCATGGATTCACCAAGGGCAAGTCATGTTTGATCAACTTGGTTGCCTTCTGTGATGAGATGATTGGCTCTGTGGATGCAGGTGTAGCAGGGCAAGAGGATTGGAGAAGGAGAATGCCTTGCCTCGTGCTCCCCTTCCTTACCAATGAAAAGCTCTGGTGGCTCTTGGCGAGGCAGCCGAAATGCTAAATGCAGCGCTGTGAGAAATGTGGCCTGGATGCTGCAGGCTGGAAGTCCCTGCTGGGAAGCAACAGCTGCCAGGGAGAGAGGCCCTGGCTGGGAGTGCCTCAGTCGACATGCTGAGACCCAGGGAGCCGAGGGCCCTGGATAAAGAGTCTCATCCCTGTCTCTCTCCAGGTGGGGCCCTACTCCCACAGGAGGCATGAGCCACAGCTGGGAGGCAAGTCCTGATGCTGACTGGTTAGACATGCCCTGAGGCACAGTCAAAAAAACACCAAAAGTGACGGGAGGAGCCCTTGGATGATGGATGAAGACACACGTTGGAAGAGGGTGAGAAGCAGCCAGACTGCCCATGTTTCTTTACTGTCATTATAGATGGCCTGTCGGGGATTCCAGGCATGAGTTCTGGGAGGTATTGTTAAGACGCTTCAAGGCTGGTGTGACGGTCGAACGATGATCAATGCGGCGACTGGAGTCTGGGGCCAGTGGGACTATAGAACCATACGAAGGCCTGTGGTGGGAGTGTAGGGGTGGAGGAGCTCCCAATCTGGACCACATAAGGGTCCTGCCAAATGGCAGTCAGGAACACAGTGACTGATAACAGATGGCCCTGACTCAGTGAGCATCATCTCCCGCTGAGGCAGAATTCTATAACTTCTTCCATCAAGTCATGGTGTGCGAGCACCTCAGCTGGGAATGGTCCTCCCCAGAGCGGGCAACAGGACTGACAAACAGGCCAGAAGGCAGGCATTGTCAGAGCAGAGAATGCAGTGGACCTGATATACCTTGACTTTAGCAAGGCTTTTGATATTGTCTCCCACAGCATTCTTGCAAGCAAGCTAAGGAAGTATAGTTTGGATGGAAGGACTGTAAGGTAAGTAGAAAGCTGGATGTATTGTTGGGCTCAGTGGGTAGTGATCAATGGCTTTGTCACAACCCAAAGTTGTGATTTCTTTTGTTTGTGTGTGCTTCGGCATCGCTAAATTGTGTTCCCACTAATTTGCAGCTCTTTTGCACGGTGGAACGTTCTGTTGCAATTAAGAACCCGCGTGCAGGAGCTTTTCCCGCCAGTTTTGTAGCCTTCTTTGCATCACGGCACAGAATTGCTCCCTCCAAAGAGTCCCCGCCATTCGTATTCTAATTTGTGCCCCACCATTGGCCCGTTCTAAATTATGCACACGTGGCGACTAGCTATTGGCTTGCTAGCCGTACAAAAGGCTTGGGTGGTTTCTGCCCAAATCGGAGAGAGAGAAAGCACGTGGAGTTCGGAAAAGGAGCGTAAAGATCTCTAAGCGCTGCTGGTCCATACGAACCCAGCTTTTTCCTTAAGAAGGCAACAGAGGTTTAATCTGTCGAACCCACGGAGCTTCAACAACTCTGGGGGACCTATTTACCGAACCCCCAGAGCCTTAACAACTCCGGGGCATATAACCTCTAGCCTCTCCCCGTCGCCGAT